CAGTGTGTGAATGCGAGAGTGAATGAATAGTGGCATTGTAAAGCGCTTTGGGTGCCTTGAAAAGCGCTATATAAATCCAATGCATTATTATTATGTTCTCTTTCTCCCTGCAGGCTGTCTCTGTGTACTTCCTATTTTATTCTGAGGTCTGTCTCATGGTTGTTTTCAGTTTTACTCCCCCCTGTCTCGTTATACTTTCGTTATACGTTATACTTTTTTCAATATTTTTTAAGAACTTCGATAATTACACAACATGTTGCTTGATTAACAAACAAATATTTAAAAAAATACAGAAATGTACTCCTTTTATTGTCATTGTTTTGTAATTTTCACTCAATGTATCAAAGTCAGTGAAAAAAGAGGTAAACAGACCGGTGTTACATAATACACAACCTGAGTACTCAAAGCGCTTTAAACAACTTTCTTTATTCATCCATTCATGGAAGCATTTTTATGCTTAAGTCTTTTCTATCTAACATTCACACATTCATGGAAAACAACTTTGCGTCAGTAGTTTACCAGGGTGCTTGGAATGCAGCATGGCGTGTCCAGGAAATTAAAATGTTGTTGTGCATCCCTTTGTTGTGTGATAAAGGCACAAACGTCTGATGACATTTTGTGTATGGGTGTATCTGCTTCTGAATGAATTTGTTTGCTTTGGATTTTGTATGACTGTTTCTATGGCAGTTGTGCTATAGCCCTGCCCTGCTGCATCAGTGCCAAGGTGTTAGGTGGATCTTCCACCTGTGAGCAGCTCTCAGGAGGGAGAGCAGATAGTTTTTGAGCTTAACTGAGCAGCAACAACTCCACAAACCAGAGATGGCAGAGTTAATTTTAAAGTTTTTTTCTTTGCTTTTTTTGTCATCATGTATCTTGATTATTTTGAATTTATTAGACAATAGAATAAAAAGTATCAGGTGGGTTGTGTTTTGTTATGTTGACTCATGAAAAACCTATGATTGATTTAATCTGTTTACTGGTAAATTATTTTTTTTCTTTCTGTAAAGTTTTTCAGAGAAACACACACTACTTGTCTCACTAATTATTTTATGTTGCTTCTGTTTCCCTTTTGATTCAGCTGGTCAACCTTCATAGAAATAGATGACAGTGAATTGGAAGACTTTGTGCTTGAGAGGTACAGGGCATACTGGGAAATAAAATTAAAATCAGGACCACCACATCCTGACTTTAGCGGAAGATTTGAAGCAGAAATAGCAGATTCAGCAAAAAACAACACAACACAACGCATTGTAGCTGAGACCCCCATGGCTCTCCTCTACAAAAAAGACTTGAAGAAGCTTCCTCAGTGGGATTTTGAAGATGTTTACAGTGAAGATACTCAACATAGACGACCAGTAAGCATGCTAAGACAAGATATAGTAAAAACAGTCAAATGTATTAACTTTATGGATGTGAGCCAGCATAGCTGGAGTCATACCAGCCATCTGCATGATGACTGACATTTCAGTTTCTGTCTTTTTGGCTTCTTGACGTATTGCTTTTGCTGTTTCCTGATTTGTTACAAGTCATTCATTTTAACTTGTTTCATGATTTAATTTTTTTTTTTATGATTTTCAGACATGTGCTCAGTCTCTACGAAACTCTCAGGATGAGAAATTCAAGAAGGCTTTTCTTCCTAACATACGTTTGTTTCTGCACAAAGACAACATTAACATGAGCGAGTGGAATCGGCTTTCACATTTCAACAGTCCTTTTGGATTTATGAACTACAAATATGATGGTAGGTTTTTATGAAGCTGATATTGGGTCAGTATTGTGTGCCAGACTGAAGAATAACAGAGTAATATACATCTATTCTCTGACTGGATTTTTAAACACCTATGTAGTTTTATGAGATATGTTTAAACAGCCAATGAAAGAACAGCAAGTCAATGCATTTAGGAATGGATGAATAGAAAAGATGGCGTGCTGATATAAACCTAACTCTGGACTACTTAATAAAAAAAACACGAAGCAATTATTTTAAGTAAAATACAGTTAAAATATATAAATTCAAACATTTATTTATTCAAATAATTAATCATTAAGGAAAATGTGCTTGGTATAAACTGAACATATACCAATCAAACAAAAGCTTGCATTTAAAATCTACATGTAAACAGATTAGTTAAAGTATGCATTTTAGGCATTTTTTCTGGAGGCTCCATGCCCTCCTGGGTTTTAAA